GTGTTAAACAGAAAATAAGCGGAAGTAAGGTGAGGACGGCGCGCTTGCAAAATTGTTCTTGTCCCACGCGGCCAAAAATGCCAAAACACGCGATCTCGTCAACGTGTGAAAGGACTGAAGCACTGGGGGAAAATCTTGTTCAAAAATTCCATCATGGCTTAGCAATCCTCCTAAGAACCAATTACTGTCATCATTGATCGCTCTCTCGTAGTAGAAAAGTAAGTTAAAGTTAATTAATTGCTTGTCAATTGTCTGCTGGACGTCCTATCTCGCAGGCTTGATATTGAAACTATATAGAGGGGTTATAGTCTCCATTTCAATAATGCCGCGGCCTAAGCAGTCAGTTAGTTGCAGATAGCAGGACATATCTCTTTCGAGCGCTTTCGGTTAAAAAACTTGAATATAAGGTAAAAAAAATGTTAGCGAGTTGTTAGTGACTAATGTATTGGTTTAAGGTTCATTCTGTTTTTATTTAATGCTCGCCCCATCGGGGTGAAATTCGCTCCGGACTTTTTCATCTCTTATGCTTATAGGGTTTGGGGTGGAAGCTCCACACTGAATGCAATGGTGTATGTTCGAGGCCATCCGCTAGATTACGACCGATGGGAATCCGAAGGCGCAAAAGGATGGAATTTCAAAAATTGTCTGCCGTATTTCAAAAAAGCCGAGACCTATAACTGTTCCAAGGTGATTTTCATTGTGATTCAGACTTCTTCGCTCTCGGCGAAAGGAGGTGTTTTGGTTTGTCACAACAATTGATTACTTTGACTGCATGTTCTTTTTTTGCCACAGTCACATTTTTAAATGGTTCTCTAGACAATATTTCAAGCTGTTGTGCCCGTGCGGTGTTTTGTTTTATGCTACGATTTAGGGTCCTGATGATCCATACAGAGGTTATGATGGGCCATTATACGTCACACGCGGTAGCGCTGAGCATCCGTTACATCAAGCATTTCTCGAGGCCGGTCGTCAGCATCCAATAGGTACCACGGAGGATATGAACGGCTTCAAACAAGAAGGTCTAGGCACCATGGATATGACCATTAGGAACGGTATTCGGTGCGTCATTTTCCTTGAGCTTTGTTTCTGCCATATTTTCTTTTCGATGATAGCTTTCTGAGTTCCGCTTAGGTTATAGGGATATTGATGTTTCTAGAAAAAATGACACCTGAGTGCTCGCTAGATAATCGAGATGACAAATGATAATTTCTGAAGGTGCGGAGTCTATCGTTAATTTTTAAAAGGACAACGACATTGAGTTCGAGAAAGCTCGACAGTGTTAATGAAATGCCTAAAATTGTGGTAAACAAAAACGAACGTAAACATGGGCATATTTCCGAGTATGGGGTTCATATACCGTCTTTTTTGCTAATGTCTTTTCACACTCTTTTTGCATACGGCGAACACACATTCAGGCACTAATGTGGCTATTTGCAAGGTACCTCGGTTTTTTGATCTAATGCTTGGCCTAGAAAAGCTCGTTAGGCCGATGTCATAGTTTGCGAACCCAGCGATTCGCAAACTAGCGAATCGCTGGGTACGAGCATTGCACCAGCGAATCGAACTGTGCACCAGCGGATCAGACAATGTACCAGCGACTCAACACTGCCTGAAAGGCTCCCAGACAATACCTAACCATTTGGGCGCGGCCGCGGCGAACGCGGCCGAGTTGATAGGTGCCCGCGAACTCAGCACAGCACAGTTCGCGGGCACCTCGAGTGCGTTTTCAACGGTTCGCGGGCACAATCGACTCGGCCGCGTTCGCCGCGGCCGCGCCCAAATGGTTAGGTATTGTCTGGGAGCCCTGCCTGAAAGTGGCGAGATTCAACGTTCGAAGGAAGTTCCGCCGTTTTCAAACAGTGTAATCTTTCAAAGTGGACTCTGAATGTTGGGTCCCGCCACTTTCACGTTGAGTCGCTGCTACGTCGTTCGATCTACTGCTACATAGTTCGATCCGCTGGTACGCTCGATTCGCTGGCGCAACGCTCGTATCCAGCGATTCGCTAACGAACTATGACATCGGGCTTGCTCTTGGTATACCCTGTTTATACCTTTGCAATATGCATAGGTATTCCGCGTAGGCTTTCACATACGAAGGTTGCTCAGCGCGGAGTCTGCAGGCCAACCAACACTTCTGACACATGAGTGGTTTTGGAGGATAAAAGTAGCATTACACATCGCCTGGACCAGCATGCCATTGTGGGCTGAACACCTTTATCACACGGTCCTAACAGGGATTGATAACGCCGATTACATCTACCTACTACTAGATGTTGCAAAGATGGATGAAACTTCTTCCAGATGTAGCACGTCAGCGGCTTACATTAAACCAAATTTGTCGCGACCCAATCTTCATACATCGTCTGGAATCACCTGCACTCGCGTTCTTTTTGATGGTACGCGTGCAATCGGCATCGAATTCATAAGGTCTGGAATTGAAAGTTAATAGTAGTGTACCAGTCTGTATTTGTAGCAATGATTCCTTAGTTTCCAGGAAGGTCAACTTTTATGGTACTGATAATATAGATTCCTATAGCAGAGAGAAGATCTATTGCGAAGGCGATGTGATTGTTTGTGGAGGTACATAAGAATTTTAATGGATTGGTTTCACCAATACCAATTAGTGCGGTAACAACTTTTTTCAAACTTGTTCTCTCATTTTTTGGTGGTGGAGTTAATTTTTCGTGGCAGGTGCGATCAACACCCCTCAACTCTTGATGGTAAGCGGCGTCGGTCCAGCAGATCACTTGCGAACACACGATATCCCTGTTGTTGTCAATCTCCCTGGAGTGGGACAAAACCTTGTCGTAAGTTGTATGATAGATAATTCAAGACAGGCTTCTTCTTTGTCTTCTCGCTTTCTCAAAAATTCTTCTATGTTCGTTATGTCAGGATCATCTCGAGGTATACGTGCAGCAGAAGTGTAAGCAAGCCAATCACATTGTATAACAAGAGTTCTTGGAAATTCCCGCACAACATGATTAAAATTGGGCTCGGTGAGTGTGAGAATGAGCTCTAGTATACACTACCTATTTTGTGGTTTTACTTGCTGCTTGCTTGCTTGTCGTGGCTTACAAGGGAGGTCTTTCAGGGCAAGGTGCGCTTTTTCAAAACGGTTTTGTGCATGTTTCATTTTCGCTGAACGGTTATAGCAGTACCAAAAAAGAAGCATAAGGTACTGTTAAGGGTTCGATCCCCGTGGCGACTAAATTTTGCATTTGGGTTGGCGCCTACGGTTTGGTGCCAAATCGCGCTAAATATCAAAATCAGATGTCAATTCATCGTCAGGACCATTTTGAAGCCAACAAGTGGCCGCCAACCTTGATTGCAAAATTTAGTCGCCGCGGGGGATTGAACCATCAAGAGTATTATTCACCACTTTTTTGGTACTACTAAAACCGTTCAGCGAAAACGAAACATGGTTTTGTGGTCCATACATGCGTCCCTACAATATGCACTAAACCGTTTCCAAAAAGCGCACCTTGCCCTGAAAGACCTCCCTTGTTAAGAGTTGAAATTAGACGTAATTTTTACGGTCATTACAATAGTAGCATAAGACTGATGTCAGACTTTGCGAATCGCGCGATTCGCAAAGTCTGACATCGGCCTAAATGTTATGGTCGCACCATACCAACTATTGGGTTGTCCCATAATTCCTGTCCGATTTTTGATCAAATTCAAATTTCTTCAAGTCGAATTAGTGTCATTGCGAAATATGTTGGTATGTCAAAGAGTGCATCTAGACCGTTAGCCAGGACGTTTTGGAAGGTCGCATCGGGATAACTGAGTAGAAGTCGAAATAGATCAGTGACAATAACGAACGATTATGCTTATGATCCTCAAATAGACGCTGTTGCAAGGAGGACACTAGAGAAAATCAGCGCTGTGTTTGGCTCAGTCTCTGCTACATCAGTCACTGAGCTAGAGGTATTCAAACGTTACCTGGTGAATGAATGCATATCGGTGATTATGATAATGGTTATATTTTTGATCAATTGGTTTTTGAGAGAGATAAAACTCGATGAGAAGAAAGTGTCGAAATTCGGACAGGTAACATAGGACAACCCAATAGTATTGATGTTATTGAGAGTTTAAAGCATTAGTAAGGATAATGCAGTATCATCAACCACTGATGTATCCTTGGAGTGTCGGAAAAGATAGTGGAGAGCTTCAAACTAGAAGATTTACACTTTAGTGGTTAAGTAACATCAGTAGGTATATCAAGATGGCGTTCAAGTACGAAAAGGTCCTTTTTCGCGTTGTTACGCTATCTTTTAGTGATTGTAACTTCTTCTCCAGATAATTCCTTGCAAAATGTTGAAAAAGACTTGAAATCTTATATTGCAACCTACTAACTAAAAAGTTACCTGTTACGAAGATAACGCGAGAAATTTTCTTTGGAGTTTATATTAGTGAACTCCTTGACGCCATTTTTTCGAGAAT